CCCTGCGGTACCCTCCCCTTCACTGTATATTGCCGGGACTTGACTTTAACCCCCGCAATGTAATAGGCCAGGCTGTTGTTGTTCTTGTTGTTGTTGTTGTTACCCTGCCGCATTACAAGCTGAAAACATGGTTATTACATCAGGATTGCGTAGGTTGGAGTTGCGCGCTGATGGAGATGTCTGCGAGTCGCGGGTGGTGCGGCCCCGCACATGTGGGCGTTGCAAAACGGCCTGGATGGATGAATGCTGTCTTCGGATGATTATGACAGCATGACGACGACGATGCTTTCAGCGTAAACTGCCATTTAGCGATGGCTGCGTGAGTCGTGACTGAAAAGAAAATAAGGAAAAGCGATGTGATTTTGTTGGTGTAATATTTTTTCTTTATATGAGGAGAACATGTTTATGATTTATATAAATAATGGAAATGTTTAGAATTAGTCGAGTCTTTATAATATTTAATATTTTTATTGGAGTAATATTTATGATTTATATGTTTAAATAGAATAGTAGTAGTAAAAAATAATAGGGATGCCAAACAAAATTCAAAATTTATATTAGAATAATATTTATGATTTAAGCATAAACAATATTAGTTGAATATATATTAAAGTTTCAAGAAATATAGTTGATAGAAAAGATAAATAGAATGAAACATAAATCATGAGACAGAAGACTACAAATATATTCCTATTCAGTTGCTCTATCGTGTCACGCACTCATCCCTAGGCTGGCAGCCTTAGCCACTGTAAGTTCAATTTAGTTTTTGGCTTTTTGCATGGCTGCTGTGCAATATGCTGGCCATTAGATGTCAGCCCGGCCTGGTTGGGGGTAACTGATACGATGACTGGCCAAGCAATCGACGATAAATCATAAACGAAACATCAATTCCAGCACTTGACCCGAACCCGAACCCGACCCAAACCCCGGACGGAATTATGGAGCCGCTGCCAGAGACTGGAGAGATTTTAAAGAGGCGTCGCCTCGCTGTCCCTCCCCTTCTTTGCGCTCTCTCTCTCTCTCTCTCTCTCTCTTTCTCTCTTTCTCTCTATCTCTCGCGTGCTGAGAGTCAACTTTTCTGGTCACGTGCCGTCAGCTCGCCAGGCTCGCAAATTAATTAATTGCCAAATAACAAAAAATAAAACGGAGAGAGCTTGAAAGATTGATTAAGCCGTAACGCACAGACAGCCGACGATAACCCTTCTGCTGTCAACTTATCTATCACGCCAACAACGTGAAAGGATCTGTCGCAGCGTATGCAACATACATACATATATCCACCTATCCGTGCCCAATTCCTCAATTCCAAATCCTCGTCTGGCATTTTCACTATGCGCTGCGACGGGACATGATTTATCGACATTCTGGCGGAAATCGCTGCGCCAAAAACCAAACGAAACGTAACTTGGCCCCAAAAACTTGGCCCACGCTTAACTTTTCCCCAATCTTCAGCAGAGTACTCCACGAAACGGAAACGCAATCGGCGCACTGCCAAAAATAAATTGATTACTGTCACGGAAATAGCTACAACACACACACACACACAAACAGACACAGACTTACACCCACACTCAGTGTTGTTTGTTAATCGATATAGCTGAGGGATAGCACACCTTGGCCCATAAGACTACGAATGTCTCAGACTCAAGAGAGAGAGTCGGCAACAGCAGCAGCAGCTAACGTGTAAATCAAGGCGGCATATGGCCAGCGGCGGGGGCTGTCACGTTTATAGATCACGTGACGTGGCCATAAATAGTTGGCGCCTGTCAATTAAAGACACCTGCATCAGGTAAGTGCTAGCTGCCCGGGCTAGTGGTTTCCTGACAGGCCGACAACAGTGTAGACCAAGGCAAGAC